GAAAAATCAAGGCACAACTGCGGATCAGCCATGGCTATGAAAATCCAGATGCCGTTTCTGAGGTTTTCATACTTTTTATGTGATAAAAATACCAGAGATGAAATTGCGGAAGTTAAGCACTAATCATGTAGGCGATAGCATGTCGGACGGGGCAAATGAACAATCAATCAAACGTCGCCTCACCCCACAAAAAATACCATCGGTACTACTACTCATTTACCTATTTTACAAAGACGAAAGACAAATGGCCCGATCATAACTCAAAAACATGATTTTTCGACTGTAAATCGACTGACTACGACACTACCAGTTAATCAGCAAAATGTTCAACCCAAATTATGAGTAAAGTGTTCTTTTTAGACACTAGCACATTCATGAAATCTGTGAAATAAGCTGGCGTATGTCAAGGCCAAAATTATTACGAACCCTATGGTATGGGTGATCACCTGATAGTTTTACTCAATATCAATGAAGAAACGCTTTAGCGAGTAACGTAAAACATCTTTAACGAGCTACAACCACAACTATAAAAGAGCTTATAGATGTCCAGAGAACCGACCGATGCCATAATGTACTTTAGTTAGGCATAATAATGAAAGTCGTTCCTTTAAGCATAACAAGAAAGATGGTATCAGATTAACATAATCAAGTTTAAATATAGAAACAACAGATTACGTGGATACGATTGCATCTGCGAAAAAGGGTGCCATGGTGTGTAAAGTAATTCAGCTTTTAAAACGAAACAGTGAACCATGCTCTACGGGTGGACATAAAATATGAGGAGCAGTTGCAGTTTGCCCATATGCTTAATTCCTTTATGATGGAAGCCTCACAGCACGTCGAAAATGTTCGGTTAAATTGTGCATTGGCACGTCTATGTTATCTTAACCGGTGGCACAGAAAGCTAATTTTTTCAGTATACACAGAGCATGAAGTATTTTTAGTAGTCCTTCATGCCTAGGAATCGCAGTACTTTAATGTTTGAATACAGTAAGGTACAATTCAGCACCCATGCAAAACGAGGCCATAACATGTCCAGCCATCACAAACTTCAATGCTTTCTGAATTATAGAAGCAACGGATCTCTGATGAAGCGATAAGGATACAAAACTGTGCAAAGTAGATTTCATCCTTCATTCAATTGATGTTATTATGTTGTTATTGTTTTCATCGTCACCTCGGAATATCAGGCGAAAGACCGAGTACCAAAATTAAAGATGTTCGACGCTCTCTGGCTTCTCAGAATGATTTAGGCGATGTTGCTTGTTACGTAAAAGGTCATGTTGCTCATCGCAAAAAAATCCCCTCTAGCAGCTGGATTAGGGTGCGATGCTTGCCTCTGACAGGTCTGCGGCCACTTCGTTTCCCCGATGACAATGGTTTTGCATAGGTCTCCATTCTGTCTCTGGATTGTTCTGTGAAACCAGAACAAACACCGGCGCCTGATTTCTTCAGACGGAATTCTCAGGCCATGGGTAAGAAAACAAGGCAGACATAAAATGTCCAAAAGAACACATTCATTACGAAACGACATTAACCGGCTACTACGAATATAAACAGAAGCGACTGCTTAAAGTCTGAAAAAGGCTTTGAACCGGTTTCCAGTGACTGAAAGAAAACAACGTTTCTCAAATGCATACCGCTGATTTCAGAGATAATTTCAGTTGTGCAATTAAGTGTCTTCGACAGGTCATCACGCAGTACCGATAGATTCTGTACCATATTTTGGGCCGCTTCACTATCCGCTAGCTTCATCGCGACAACCTGCCAAAAGAAATATTTCAAAAATTCGTTTTACAGCAAACAAAGTGCTCGTGGTATTTAAATATACAGAAAGATCTTCAGTAAAAGCAGTAAACAAGAAATTATTCTCAAACTCACTTGAATTCTGCGTCTTGTTGGTATCATCAGTAATGTCGATAGATGCTGAATGATTATAGCCATCACCAGAAAACCAATATTAAAGTATTCATTTCTGTTGCTAACATTTTGGCTAAACATCAGCTGTTCTCAGAGCATATAATAGTCTTTGCAGAGCTGAATGATAGCTCTGAATAGTTGTTCAGCAATAAACACGGCGGTAAATTTAAAGCTTTAGCATTGATTTTCTGGCTTTATTTAAAAACATTGAATCCATACCACTAACAAGAAAATTGTTTCGCTTCAACAGATGAAAAACTTTATCATGCCGATGATAAGTTCTCTGCCCATATTAACAATCAGTTCAGTCGCGTAAGATGCCCTGTTAAATTGCTGGTTCATTAAAAAACTTAAGTGTCACAGAAAATGTTGATGCTATGGTGAAAATTATGAAAAGGTTGAACTCGTCACTCAAGCTTGCCGAAAGAGTTTGGTACTCTGATCACTGTACAATGATCGAATGACAATTCAAACTGCGAGAAGAACAGATCGATCATCGCATTCTCAAACAGAACACTAGTAAATTGCAGTCTTTAAGCAGAGCTTAGGCGAATGGGCTTTCACACCAAATCGCGCTGCCTTTATCGGTATTCTTTCTAAATTTTAACGTCTTATCAGCAGAGGATCAAAAGTCGTGTAATTTAGATAACGCCTAGGCAAATATACTGGAAGTTTTTTCGAGCTCCAAGTGCCAGCGGAAGCAAATTTAGGTTAAAAGTCAAAGGCCAAGAGTTCACCCGCAAACATGGGGGGATACAGTCAAAAGAAACAGTTTTGACAAACTTGTACATTTGCAGGGAGACAGAAAACGCAATCGAATCACTTAGCCTAAAATTAGCATTTTATCAAAACGGTCATTCAAACGTTGAAATAGGCCTCGACAGTGAAGAACAGATCCCAAAATGCAAAATAATGTTAAATTACCTCAAGAAGCTGAGCAGAAGATTTTAGCCTTTGGAACAACTTTCCATTACAAATATTGAACTTAATAAACTTCGCCTTGAAGTCTTTCATGTCTCCATAAGCCGTTGCCGAATTCTCTGAAACAGACTGCAAGCCTCCTTCGCGTAGTCCACTGCCACTCGTCTCCTCCTCCGAGATGAGACCACTGTCGCTGTCTCTACCGTCGGTTTTGCCCAGTGTCACCTGAATAGCCTCGTCCTTCTTCAAGTTATTCTCTTTTTCCAGAGCCAACTCTGCCTCACGACAACGCACGTCCTAAAGCGAAAACCGTAATCGATCAGACATACAAACAATACTCCCTTGCCTCGTCTTCTTTAGTAGGTGTCACTTCGCGAGGAACAGTATCAGTTTGAGCCTCTGATATAGCCAGCTTTGCCAATTCCAGTTCTTGTGTAAGCATTTCAGCTTCCGCTGCCTTCTCCGCATATTTACGCTGGAAAATAGAAAAAATTTGCCAAAACATGCCAGAACAACTTGCCAGAGAAATTAGAGTAAAAGGACTTTTCAGGAAAATAATTTCGTGCTAAACAAAAATTAACATGCGAGTATTCGCTCAAAACAAGATAAAATAAAAAAAATTGCATATTTTCAAACTGAAAACAGCAGAAAATAAGAATACAGATAAAAAGTCTAACTCAAAGGATAGAAGTTATAGAAGGTCTAACATTACTAAAGCTTTTCAAATTCAGAGCAGACTACAGAATGGAACAAAAATACTGGGTAATAAACGCTTGTTTTAATCTCCAAAGGAAAGATCATGAAGAGTTTCAACTTTTTTAGATCTTTTTTTCCTCCTTAAGTTCGCAGTAAAATGTCGAATCAGTGAACTACGACTCATCTTCGTCTAGTAATCCTTTTCTTCTTTCTTTTCTGGTTCGATAGATACAAATGTCCATTGAAGCAGAAGAACATTTCAATTACAAACAAGAACTAAAGAATAATAAAAGGGGATCCTTTGTTAATAATCCCTGAAAAAATTACGTTCTTTCTATGTTCTGAACGGAGAATGTTGAATGTTGGCAGACTGATGGAAGAAACTGATGACGCATGACGATGATACCTGGGAATAGAAAAATATAACATCACTTTACCACCTGAATGGTAAAGAACTGATCTTTAGCTCGTCAAAACTTTTACACTGATACTGTCAACACTTTCATAGAAGGTCGACATCCGTATGTCATGCCCATCTTTAATTCGTCTATCTTTCTGCCTGTACCTCATGTTTCCATTTCCTTCTGCTCTTTCTTCTTCAA